GAGAGAGAGAGAGAGAGAGAGAGAGAGAGAGAGAGAGAGAGAGAGAGAGAGAGAGGGTTTGTGTGTGTGGGAGAGAGAGAGAGGGTGTGTGCGTGTGTGTTTGTGTGGTAACCCATAGCATTACATGCTAAGAACTCCACGGCAAGCCGTGGTACGTCCGTTCAGAGGCCAAAGGCTAATATACATGCACCCGGACTTACGTTCTTTATGGTGGGGAGTAGCACTAGAAACAACTTGGTGATCTACTACTGACCCAGGTTAACAGGACCATTCCCGAAGTAACAAAGGAAAAGACCAGCAAGATGGAGAAGACAGTAAACATCAAACAAAAAAGGAGAACAAGGCAAAGCAGCAAGGCAGAGGATGACAAGCAGCAGGCAGGAAAGGAGAAATGCTGGAGGGCATTGGGGAGGCAGGAAGGCAGACGACACACAAATATACCGAGGAGACGACACACAAGGGAAATACATGATGGGAAAAGACATAGAATGACAAGCAGCAGGTAAGGACAAATGCTGGAGGGCATTGCGGAGGCGGGAGGGCAGACGGCACACAAATATACCAAGGAGACGAGACACCGACATGATACGACAAGACATAGAATGACAAACAGCAGCGAGGGACAAAGGCTGGAGTGCACGGGGGAGGCGGGAGGACAGACGATACAAAAGTATACCAAGCATACTACACCCAGTTGATGACACACAAGCGCACGAAGCTGACGACACACAAGCACAGCAAGCAGACCAACCAGATGGCATACAAGCACGCCAAACAAACGACACACAAGGACACCAAACAGACCAAGCAGACAGCACATAAATACACGAAACAGACAATCGAAAAAAACACAATCCCAAAAGGAATTTCAAGGACTAAGAAAATAATAGTGATGAATCTGATGATAGATTGTTTTGTCGGAGTTGCACCGACTCATCAGGAGGCTGAACCCTCGACAATCTGTGGAATCCCCATATTGATAGTTTGGGTCATATGAACCCCTTGATACTTGTCGAAGGCAGACTGTCCCCCAGCGGAACACAGCAGCGTGCAACAACTCAGCGAAGTACCAGGCAACGCTGCCGGAGAAACCCAACTGCACAAACGCCAACAACAACTGCATGGAGAACACGAAACAAGCAGACGAGTAGCACAGCGACAGTGCAGCGAAGCACAAGGCAACACCAACAAAGCAGCCACACGACACAGCCCACAAGCAAAGAGTGCAGAAGGCAAGGCATGCAGATAAGCAGCAAGGCAGCATCGCAGTGAAGCACAAGGCAGCACCAGCAACGTAGCCACACCACACAGTGAACACAGCAGCTGCAAAGAACGACATGCAAAGCAAGAAGGATGGACAGCAAGGTAGCAGCAGAGCACACACAAGGCAGTCTGCACATCCAACACGGAGCAAACATCACCTACTCGCGTCATGAGCAAAACCCCAGACTGTTGGTTCCCACCACCTTCTGAGCCACGGAGTCACTCTGACGGACGTCTGTGATCACCCATAGACCATATGTACCGCACAGACGTCACGAACTGAGCGGCTCCCCTAGCAGTCCTGCAGGCACTCCAAACAATGGGCCACCTACTGTTTAGCACTTCTTAAAGGTGCTCACTCAGATGCACAGAAAGAGAAAACAACATCAAGAACGACATACAGAGACAACAGTGAGGAAGGCAAACAAACAAACCCTAAGAAAGACATGCGTAACTGATTGTGTGTGTGTGTGTGTGTGTGCGAGCAAGCGAGAGAGAGAGAGAGAGAGAGAGAGAGAGAGAGAGAGAGAGAGAGAGAGAGAGAGAGAGTGCATCGGAAAAAAGAAAAAAAAAGGTCTTTGCCACTCCTTAGTGTGCACTGCAGTTATGAGATCAGATTCATCAGAGAACAAGCAAATGCGCGACAACAGCAAGCCATGCAGACCACACGGCAAAGGACGACAAGGTAGGAGGGAGAAAAGAGCAGTCAAGAACACAGAGAAAAAAAAGCCGAGTGCAAATGGGCTTGTAGCCTCGTAGTATAAGATCCGAAAAAGTACAGCCCAAGGTCAAGAGTAGTCTCATAGCGCCATAAGCGTGAAGCACCGTGTGGACTGCTTTACAGAAATAGGGAAAGTGACGTGAAGGAATTCAGACGATCACCTAGAGAAGAAGCCAAGCTGTAAGGAGCATGTTCGTAGGTTCTCAATTCAAAACATGCCACCCACTAGACTAGATCAGGGAGAGTAGATGAATAGAAAACATACACACGACAAATCAAACATCTGGCATGAACATGACAAAAAACACCTCACGATCGCCATAGATGAGAGAGGATAAATAGTTAAAAGCGCACAGTCAGCACACTCATAATATTCATGAATAACAAAGCCCCATGCGAAGATTGAATCGCATTCATCATGCGATCCTGGCGTAGTCCCTACGCAGTGTTTCAATTACCCACCAGTGACGATATCATCAGGGAACTGCTTCACAGCCATTAGTTGGTGTGTGGCACTGTGTGCCAAAAA